GTGGTGTCTGAGGGCTTGGCTCTATATCACAGCTTTTTTGGTGTGTTTAGGGTGATTGCTGGTTCTGTGCAGATATGTATGTTGGTCTGTGGGTTTCTTGTATAATGTGGTCTGTAATTTACCATTCTGGATACTGATCATTGTGTCTAAAAAGGAGATGATGGTGCTGGAGTATTCAAGAGATTGCAGGTTTTCAGTCTAAATGATGAAGATATCATTGATATAGCATAAGTATAGCAAGGGTTTGATGGTGCAGTTCTTGAGGAAGTCTTCTTCCAGGTGGCTCATACAAAGGTTGGCATACTGTGGGGCCATTTTGGTGCCCAGAGCTGTTCCCATCATCTGGAGGAAGTGTTGGATATTAAAAGTGAAATTGTTGCATGTGAGGATGAAGTGTATAAGGTCACTAATATCTTTGGGTCTGTGTTCTGAGTTGTAATCTTGTTCCTATAGATATGTAAGGCAGGCTTACATATCTACTTTTTCACTGACTGCCTGTCTTGTATGCAGCCCAGCCCAGCCTCTGGCTTTTTTACTTTTCATTTCATCCAGGAAGAGCGCACACCAACTGCTGCAACTTTCTTAGCCTGACAAAGGGTTTTTGAACCTGAAAGCTTGCTTAAAAATTGTTCTCCAACTGTGTAGTTGGTCTAATAAAAGATATCAGATTCACCCAAAGAAACTTGCCTGCTTTTAATAAATACATTAATGCAGTGGAAACAAAAAGATCTCTTGAAACCAAGAGCATAGGTTGTGTAGAGAAAATCCATTGGTGAGCCAATATTCCCATTTGTTAGCTGAGCAAGTGGATGGAAATCAGAACAGAAATCTAGATCAAGTTTTCAAATACTCCAGAGATGTTGGGGTAATTTGTATCTGGGGTTTTGGCTTAGTCCATTAGAGTGTTGCCAGCTGTGAAATTCAAGTCTAGATCCATGTTCTGATCTTAAGCCCTCTCCTGTGTTTTGAATTTGGGGGTTTGGGCTGTAGACTTGTCTACGTGG